GAGAATGTAATCTAGGATTAGAGGACCACAATAGATCTGGAAAAAGTTGCATTGTTAGTCGTAAAAGGAGACTGAAATTAGGATTGATGGTTTACAGAGAAAGTTGAAGGAATAATGAACGCGAATGATGGATTTCCAGATATTTTGAAATTATAGCGTCAGTCCAGTTGAGTAGAAGGGAACTGATAGTTCGAATGACCATGTAGTGTTGCTCTTCAGACTATTGCCGTTTGTTCAGCAGCTGCGGCAACACAGATCACATAATCGATATAAGGAATCAAGGGTATCAAAGAGAACAAAATGCCGCGCAAAACAAAATTTACCAACATCATCCTAAAACAGGGACAAAAAACTTGATGCAAATCGTTTAGACAGATCTTAAATGTTATTCAAAACTTCGTTTAAAAACTTTCGAAACTGAAGCCAACACTTTGATTTCAAAAGTTAAAGGACGTTAAAATGCTAAAATTTCTCCTCAAATCTTTGGACACGCACGCTACGAAGCACCGGTTCGGATAAATAATACCCAGATACCTTATGCAGACACAGCCAAATATTTGGGTATCACTCTAGATGCAAAGCTATGCTGGAAGCTTCACGTAAAGAAGACACAAGAAGAGCTCGGCACAAGGTACAAGAAAATGTATTGGTTATTGGGAAGATATTCCACCATGTCAATCTACAATCAAATTCTTCTGTACAAAAAAATGTACAAACAGCACTATAGATATAATCCAGCGTTTCAGAATAAAGTTCTGAGGAACATCGTTAATGTTCCTTGATATTTCATAAACAGTGATCTCCTTAAGAAGTCACGAAAAACGACTTCTCAATCACAGTAACCCCGAGGCCATCCAGGTTCGACAATGTGAATTTGGTCAGAAGACTTAAAAGAAGAAACCTTTCAAATTGTTGAAGTTGTTGAGTATAAAGCAAAGTACATTGCGCCAATGATGCATGTCAAAATGTGTGTAATAAAGTCAATAGAAAGTGAATAGGTCTTTAGTTCAAATTTTCCTGTTGATAACTTAAGTTAGAAAATTTTTATTAAAAAAAACTTTACGAAGCTGATGGGAATGAATTTTTACGTCGTATAATGACTTCCTATTTATGATCCTTACATACACCATATCAGTTATGCAATTCAAAACAACACATAAAGCGTAGAGATACGGTTAAAAACCCAAACTGCTAAAAATACACTAATTGAAAACATTATTGGAACACTTCTTTATTCATTCATAACTTTTTTAGTAAAAAATATACACATTAAACATCTAAATACTCTCCAAGTAAATTAATATATTTATAGCACGACCTCATTTAGTAGAAAGATTTTACTAAGAATTTAAAAATATTACAAAAAAAATGTGAATTCAAAATAACTTTGCTACTTGTAGTGATGTGATGTAATTTTCCTGTTGTGTAACCAAAATGCAAAAGTTGTTCGTGCTGTTTCTTTGGCGTTTGAGGAATCATTATGGAAGATATTTTCTAGTTGCATTTTAAAGTAATTACTATTTTAATGAGAATAGGCCACAATTGAAGGTTAAAATAAGTTTATTGACATTTTAATCTCCACTTCGGAAATCGCTCTCAAAATACTTCTTCTTCTTCAGGTGCCATCTCCGCTACGGAGGTTGGCAATCATCATAGCTATGTCAATTTTTGAGGCAGTAGCTCTAAATAGTAGTTTTAAGCTGCATCCAAACCATTCTCTCAGGTGCCACGAAATTCGTCTTCTTTCGATGCTTCTTCTGCCATCTATGTTTCCTTGTATTATGAGTCGCAGGATGCCATTCTTCTCGCCCCGCATCACATATCCGAGATACTGTAGCTTTCTTTCTTTAATTGTAAGTTCAACTTCCTTCTCTTTACCTATTCTTCTCAGTACTTCAGTGTTCGTAACTCTATCTACCCAGGAAACCCTCATAATTCTTCTATAGACGATCAAGTCGTCTCATTGTGTCTAGATTTAACGTCCATGATTCCACTCCATAGTATAGTAAACTGTATACGTAACATTTTGTTAGGCGTACTGTAACAGCTAATGTTAAATCTTTGCCACATAGGACCTTTTTCATTTTCATAAAATTAGAACGTGCTTTTTCGATTCTGACTTTAATTTCTGCAGTGTAGTCATTATTTTCTACTATTTCTACTAAGTATTATTTCTACAAATTTTCATAAACTGCGTCTTTTTGATATTGAGCGAGAGTCCGTACTCCCTACTACACATTACTATTTTACTTTCCAGCTCTTGTAAACTATCGGCTATTATTACTGTATCATCTGCATTTTTATTGATAAATCGTATTTTGAGAACGATTTCCGAAGTGGAAATTGAAACGCCAATAAACTTATTTTAACCTTGAATTGTGGCTTATTCCCATTAAAATAGTAATTATTATTATAGAAAGTCAGATTAGTAAAAAAGACCATTCGGGCAGGATTTTAAGTTCTTTTGTAATTGACTAATCATATCTCGAACAAACGATCGTTTAAACTACTTTCTCATGGCAACTCATTTACTAGAGGATTTGAAAAAAATTATACTCGGGTTGGAAATTATTAATATCAAATTTTTACAACACAGCTCATTGGCGATTCATGTTGCATTCTTTTCGGCGTTTTCGTTTGAACAGTCCTGACCTTAACTTGAAACCCATAACATCCTTGCAAAAAAACAGTAGACTTTAGCGACTGCCAATAAGATAAGCATTGATAAACGCCGATCTCCGATAGGAGAACGAATCGCCAGAAGAAGAGCCCTCACCGACAGGTAAATATTTCAATATTTCGCTTACGAACTACTCGTGCAGCTTGTAATGCTCGCGAGATAACGATGTCATCGACATCGGCTTGCCACCGTTCTGTACGCACACACTCCCACCGCTACCTTCCACTTTCATCGATGCGCGCTGGAGATGGATCACTGGAATAAAACAACGTACGCCGGAAGGTCCCAACAGAAGGCGATACGGATGTGGAACGTCGGACGAAGGCTCAAATACCTTCAAGTTTTGAAATATCTGAAGTTTGAAATGTTATATAATATAACGGCAAAAAAGTTTTTATTTTTATATTTATTTTTTATTTTTATATAGAGAATTGAGTTCCGACAGAGTACTGATCTGGTGGGTATTCCACCGGGCCTTTCGTTATTGTCCACTGTTATTGATCTGGGAACAACCCCACTGGCCCTAGGGTATTGACTGAAGACCAACCGCTCCTGCTGCAGTGTTGATCTAGTATCAGCTCTCGAACCGAGTCTTTGAGTATTGATCTAAGGCCAAACCGTGCTGTCGGCGACAACTATTGGTTGGATGCTTTTACGTTCCTTCCGTTCACCTCTACCCAGAATAAGTAGTGATTATTTCTTCTCCTTGGCGTGTGTGACGAATAGAGCTGCTGCCCTTTACACGCATAGCTGTCACGAGCAAACTTACTTGGACCGGACAATTGACGAGTAATAGTCGATTGTCCGGTCCAGATAAGTCCTACGAGCTTCAATTGTATGGCGAGACTCGAACAACGAGAGTACTATATGAGAGCCTTTACACGTTGTGATGATTGAGTACTTGTTTAGATATCCCCATGAACGGTGCTCTGGTGCTGCAGTGCGAGAGATTCAAAGATTTGGTGAGGGCTTTATAATGGTTTGGAAGAACTGAGAATATCTTCTGCTCATAAAAGCTCAAGAGAAGCAGTCAACGTACCGAGATACGTCGCTGAACGATTTCTATTCAGGGAACTGCAACAGCTGTCCCATGCTGCGAGAGAAAATGAGATATGATGCGTTCCATCGATGGAAGCACAATCTTACCCCAGAGATAAAACATAAATTAAAAACAGAGCATAGTTCGTAGCTCTATCAAACGGTCGCAGACAACCACAAAATACTGTGTAGACCCCACTAATAAGATTTTTCTTTCAGGACATCCTACTCAAAAACGGCTTCGGCCACCAAAAAAATTTAAAAAATACTAACAAAAAACCCGTACAGCCACCAAACAATTAACAAAAAACCAGGACACGTAGGGCCCAAATCCTCGGTTTCGCGTATAAGTCACTAGAGGATAACAGGAATAAAGCGACTAACGCTGTCCTAAATTTGAATCGGTTAGGGAACCATGTTGAAGTTCTATTACACAGGACTCCCAAATGAAGAGAATTTGGCTGATAGTATACCCCTATCAAACATCAGAGTGCTGTAGGGAGGAAAGGGAGAATTGGAGCGCAGTGGAATGATTCCTATTTTAAACAAGAATTAATACATCTCGCTCCAATGAATTGTTACACCCGAACGTTATTTTAAGGGGTAAACAAGTCTCACAGTCCGGGATTAATCCAATTGCTTGCTTGCAGAATATCTTATTATTATTATATCTACGAATGATGACAAGGAAATGTCATAAAGAGCTATGTCATAAAGAATTAGTGTGGGTAAAAGATACAAGTTACATAGAACCCTACAATACAAACAGAAAACTGCATTCTTCGAGTAGTGTACTTACAGTTAGGTATTTTAGTAATAATAGTAGTTAAATTAATCGTTTTTCGATCTTTATCATATTTGATTTCATAATTTACTGGGAGAAACTAAATTGAACATTATTTTCACGCAAAAAGTTATAGATTTATAGAGAAGGTTTTTTTAATGTTTTAACAAAAAGTTAATTATGCACCAGATCGACCTATGGAGCAGTACGGCAAGAGATGGGGGCTTCCGACTCAGTGTTGCTAACTCCACAGATCCTTCATTTGTTGTAGTTAGCAACTACTCCATAGATCCTTCATTTGTTGTAGTTAGCAACTAAGTAATATTTCGTAGTTGTGGATGTATTTTAAAACGTTTTACGAGTTATCTATACATTTGAAATAGGCACCTTTTTAATTAGTAACAATTAACTATGTACAGTATAATTAAATTAAAATAAATACAATTAAATCTCATGTCATTCATTGAACAAACTCCTATTCTAAAATACATCATAATCTCATAATGTATCAGTACCGTTCAGCTTGTGAAAAATAAAATTTTTAACATCAATAATATTGATCTCAGTCACGCAGATAACAGACAATAATATTCCATAACCAACGTATTGTATATTTCTTAGGAATTCCCATAACTTATCACAAAATATTGAAAGCAGCAACACGTGCATCAGATTGTGGACGTTGATAACGCGCCACAACCACGCCATGAGGAAGAAGAAAGAAGTTCGGAAAACTTCCTGCTGCTTAACTTTATCATCGGCCGATGCATCTGGGTTTTCTAGCATGTCTTGGTACAAAGCTATGTACCTGTTCCACGCCGTGGAACTGATGATAAGCTGAAAGGCGAAACAACAAACTTTCCTCACAACTTTCTTTGTAGTAACTTTTAAACTATGAACAATATTGGTTTCTTTGCTGTCTACGGTGGTAGGCAGCTGGATATATCCTCTTCTAGGAGGATTGTTCTTGAGAAACACGAATATTCCGATTATTAAGGCAGTGCAACCGATGGCGTCGCAAATGCCATCGATGTAGTAACCGGCCGTACCGATTTCCGAACGTTCCCCTTTTATATGTTTTCTCACTCTCGCCACGTGACCATCAAGGTCATCTAGCCACGTTCTTATCTCGAACAACACCACTCCTATTCTTCTATACGCTAAACTATTACTAGAAACGCACTTAGCACTAAGAAAAGCAACGAGTATATGGAAAAAACTTATCGAGTTAGGGGTTATCCATTTTGTTTCACTTATTTTTAGTATATCATCGACGATTTGCACCAAAGGCGCGAAGAGGTAATAATTTGTATGATCTAGTAGCACAGCTTTAACAGTAACTTCGCATAGAGGATTGATATGACAGCTCACCCAAGTCACGTCTTCGTAAGTTTCCAAACTCGAATTACTTTTATCATTACTTAATGGATACTTCTGTATTCTTACGTATAGGTTAAAGTCCATATATAAATAAAACAATATTACGAAGATCAGCAGGGTGAGTAAGAGCTTGCTGATTTGCGACGAGGGGCCAATCATTTTAAATAATCTTATAGTACGATTTAAAATTATTCGATAAAAAAATAATATTAGGCCACGTCGATCCGTGGACGGCAGTCAGTCTTAAAATTTAACAAATTTCCTAGAATATTGCATCATTTTCTCAAGGAAGTACGGATTTATCTTTCTAATACGGAAGAATTACAGCTAACACTATGCCGATCGCACCCAGCGCTGAATTACCTGGAAAGAAAGAACTCATTGCAGTAAGACAATTTTTCTTAGACACACAGTGTAATCAATAAACAGTAGTGTTCCTCTCAAGGCTTTAAAAATTTTAAATTTTCATGTTAGAAAGAACATATAGTTTCTTTCATACATTAAATATTTTCTTTTTATGTTTCACTCTTTTATCTATATGAGGAATTCTACAAAAATTCGCACCTTAACTGGAGCCAAATAAGGTGATATTGCAATTTGTTGCCCGTACCCTGCAGCAACAATGTTTTCTGTAGGTTGATACCAAAAAACATGTTTTCAGGTGCGAGCCTCAAAAAAAAGGCAAATTTTAGTTTTTTCCAAAAAAAAAAAATGATTTGTTGGCTAAAGCTATTTCATTCTTCTAGCGATCTGCCTCGAAAAACGAGTGAAAGAGACTTCTATACTTGAAGCACACATACATATCAGGTACCAATCGCTTCGTCTTGGTCTCCAGAAGGAACTCTGACCCTTTGAAGAGCCAAGAAACACCTGCTCAAAGTGTGGCCAGAGGTTATTCAGTCACTAAAATCGACGCTTTTTTCATTTTTTTCGCGATTTTACCCGAAAATAAATTAAAAGATACCTCTATAGTTGGAGCACACATACATGTTAGGTACCAATCGCTTCGTCTTGATCCCCAAAATGAATTCTGACCCTTTGAAGAGCCAAGAAACACCTGCTCAAAGCGTGGCGTCGAATCGCTTCGTCTTGATCCCCAGAATGAATTCTGACCCTTTGAAGAGCCAAGAAACACCTGCTCAAAGCGTGGCAAGCGGTTATTCTGTCACTAAAATCGACATTTTTTTTTCATTTTTTCGCGATTCTACCCGAAAATAGATTAAAAGATACCTCTATAGTTGGAGCACATATACGTATTAGGTACCAATCGCTTCGTCTTGGTCCCCAGAATGAACTCTGACCCTTTGAAGAACAAAAAAAAACTCAAAGCGTGGCAAACGGTTATTCAGTCCCTAAAATCGAAGTTTTGTTCATTTTTTCGCGATTCTATCTGAAAATAGATTAAAAGATGCCTCAATCGTTGGAGCACATATACATATTAGGTACCAATCGCTTCGTCTCGATCCCCAGAATGAATTCTGACCCTTTGAAGAACCAAGAAACACCTGCTCAAAGCGTGGTAAGCGGATACTCAGTCCCTAAAATCAACGTTTTTTTTTTTTTCATTTTTTCACGATTTTACCGGAAAATCAAGTTAAAATGACTGACCGTAAGTGAGGTTCATCTACCTATCGGAAGCTGGTGACTTGATCCTCAGTATGTAGCCTGATCCGTCATCAAATTTTAGATAGTAAATTGTAATATAGCTGAAAACCTTCACGAAAATACGATTCATAGGTATAATAATATAAATATAATTATATTGATATTGATAGGTATAACAATGATATAAATATATTTATTTTTCATTAATTTAACACTTTAAAAAAGAACTTGGCATATAATATTAAATAATATTGTGTTTAACAGAAACAATACATATTAAAGCACGAATAATATGAAATAAACAAAATTTTAATACTGTTTTTGATTCAAAAAGAAATTATATTAATTATATAAATTATACCAAATATATCATATAATATATCATATAATTATATTATTATTTACATTAGATTTTAATCATTTTTTTTTATTTTCACTGATATTGTACATTATTTTATTTCTAAATTTAGTTAGTCCTGGCGATTCTATTTTACATAAAACTTGAGTTGATAAAGCGTGTTGTGTATGCTCTGGTCGATTCAAAAAACAAAAGCCATTTTTTGTAGTTGAGAAAAATTTTGTTACAAGATGTTCGTTGTTTACCTCTTCAACTACCCCTGCGTACCATTGATCATAAATTACTACGATCCAATCACCTTTGAAAAACTCAGTTGTCGAATGAAAGTCATTTTAACTTGATTTTCCTGTAAAATCGCGAAAAAATGAAAAAAAAAAACGTCGATTTTAGGGACTGAATAACCGCTTGCCACGCTTTGAGCAGGAGTTTCTTGGTTCTTCAAAGGGTAAGAGTTCTTTCTGGGGACCAAGACGAAGCTATTGGTACCTAATATGTACGTGAGCTCCAACTATAGAGGTATCGTTTAATCTTTTTTCGGTAAAATCGCGAAAAAATAAAAAAAACGTCGATTTTGACTGAATAACCGCTTGCCACGCTTTGAGCAGGTGTGTCTTGGCACTTCAAAGGGTCAGAATTCATTCTGAGGATCCAGACGAAGTGATCGGTACCTAATATGTACGTGTGCTCCAACTATACAGGTCTCTTTTAATTTATTTTCGGATAAAATCGCGAAAAAATGAAAAAAAAAAACGTCGATTTTGGGGACTGAATAATCTTTTGCCACGCTTTGAGCTTTTTTTGGCTTTTCAAGGGTCAGAGTTTCTTCTGGGGACCAAGACGAAGCGATTGGTACCTAACATGTATGTGTGCTCCAACTATAGAGGTATCTTTTAATCTATTTTCGGGTAAAATCGCAAAAAAATGAAAAAAAACGTCGATTTAAGTGATTGAATAACCGCTTGCCACGCTTTGAGCAAGTGTTTCTTGGCTCTTCAAAGGGTCAGAATTCATTCTGGGGATCAAGACGAAGCGATTCGTACCTAGTATGTATGTGTGCTCCAACTATAGAGGTATCTTTTAATCTATTTTCGGATAAAATTGCGAAAAAATTAAAAAAGCGTCGATTTTCGGGACTGAATAACCGTTTGCCACGCTTTGAGCAGCTGTTTCTTGGATCCTCAAAGGATCAGAGTTCCTTCTGGAGACCAATACGAAGCGATTGGTACCTGATATGTACGTGTGCTCCAAGTATAGAAGTCTCTTTCACCCGTCTTTCGAGGCAGATCGCTAGAACAATGAAATAGCTTTAGCGAACAAATCAGTTTTTTGTTGGAAAAAACTTAAATTTGCCTTTTTTTGAGGCTCGCACCTGAAAACATGTTTTTTTGGTATCAACCTACAGAAAAAAAATTGATACTGTGGAGTACGAGCAGCAAATTGCAATATCACCATATTTGGCTCCGGTTAAGGTGCGAATTTTTGTAGAATTCCTCATATACCGATTATAGCCCAAACTATAACTTCTGAATACCGGATAAAAAAATAATGCGTTAGCTTAATAATAAATATATTAACCCGGTATCTTGTTCTGTTGCTCTCAGGCAACATAATGTTTATAAACAACTAAGTCAAGTTCTACTATATGTATATAACTGTTATGTGACAATGATAACTGTACGGAACAAGTCTTGTTAGTTATACAGGGTGTTTCAAAAAGGTATGTCATAAATTAAATGACGCATTCCGGGGACAGAAATAAATTGATTAAAGCCAACCTACCTTAGTACAAAAGTGTACACAAAAAAAGTTACAGCCCTTTGAAGTTACAAAATAAAATTTTTTTTTTGGATTATCTCCTACTTTGACTTGACTACTTGACATTTTGTAATAAAAATTGGACGTTACTTTCTTGTTCTGAAAGCAATTTTTATACAAACAAAACAACAAAATCTAAGCGCATAGAAAAATTTTAAGAGGGATATGCAGCCCTAAATCCCCCCAAACAACGTGTACGTTCAAATCAAATGAATTTTGTGGCATCATTAGTTTGACACATTATTTTTAAAACTTTTTTGCCTCTCATCACTTTTTCGAAAAACTAGTTTTTTCCTAGTTGGCCATAAAATTACAATTAGTTTCTACGGATACAATAAGTGCAAACATTTCCATCAATAATAGTCAATAATTTGAAGCTATCATTTACTGTGTGAATAAGATTAATATTAACAATTTTGATATTACAATGGCCTACACATTTCAGAAAATGGCAGGAAAACTATCGGGAATATCGTAGGTGAATGTCAAGGAAATATGCAGAAGCCGCAAGACGTTATGCAGTAAAATACCCCAATCGAAATACACCCGATAGACGATTATTTCTGATCATTGATCGTCGTTTACGGGAAACGGGTACATTCCAACCGCAAGTTGCTGGCAATAGTGGTCGTCCAATAATGGATGCAACTGATGAAGACATTTTAGAAATCATTGAAGAAGTCCCTGGAACAAGTACAAGGGTAATAGCGCTCAACGAAATGTTCCTCACGTAAGGGTTTGGAGACGTTTGAAGCATCAGCTGCGTAAACCCTATCACTTAACAATGGTTCAAGAGATATTGGTTGAAGATTATCCTAAAAAGATTGGATTTTATGATTGGTTGTTAATGGAAAACACTCGAAATGTTAATTTTATTAGAAATATTATGTTTACCGACGAGGCTACCTTCAGTAGAAATGAAATAAGAAACCATCATAACGAGCACATTTGGGCCGACGAAAATCCTCACGCCAAAAAAACGAGTCATCACCAAAGGACTTTCAAAGTTAATGTTTGGGCAGGAATTGTGGATAACAATCTAATATGCCCAGCATTTCTTCCCAAGAATTTAAATGGGGATAATTATTTACTTGCAGTTCGTGGCAAACGATTTCCAGGAGTATTTGGAAGAAGTGAATGTTGCAATAAGGCAAAATACGTGGTTTCTACAAGATGGCGCTCCACCGCATTACAGTAATGAAGTCCGGGAATACCTTTGCAGGCATAATCCGTGTCGGTGGATTGGAAGGGATCGTGACGCACCTATTTCTTGTCCACACAGAAGTCCAGGTTTTAACGCCCTGGACTTTTGCTTTTGGGGGTTTATGAAACAAACATAACAGCTGTAACAATCGAGGACGAACAGCAATTGAGGGTTAGA